ATGTAAAGTCTTTAGTGAAGGAACTTTTGCAACAAATTCACCAAACTAATATTGATTTAGAACAGTTTTTAGTGAAAAGACACGATATTAGACAAAATAACGGTTGGGAGTGTGGGGTGGGGGTGATTACTATTACTAAGCGAATTATTGAGAAATATCGGGGTAATTTAAAGGAAGTAGGATTGAGAAAGATAGATTTTAGTAAAGAACAGGAGAGATTAAGAGCAGAGTATTTGAAAAAATCTACCTAGCAAACAGATTATAAAAATCAGATAAGGGGTGAATTATTCTCCCTAATTTTAATTATTACCTTTAGGTGGGATTTGAATTTGATCTGTCTTTTCCTCGGAAAATAAAAGTTCTGACTCTGATTCATTTTTTTTGTCTTGTTTTTGAACAGCTTCTACTTTTTGTTCCTCCTCCTTGCTATTAAATAAATGATGTTGGTGCTTATTTTCTGATTGTTCTTGGGAACCATTTGTAGTGACCATTATTCTTTTTTCTTCCCCTGATTTTAATTTTTCAGCATCTGACTTTAGCAGAAATTCTACTAAACCTTTTCGGTGATAAACATTACCTTCGCGTGAAGCTAATATCGCAAACGGTTTGCTGATTTCTCATTCCTTTTCGCTGAGAATTATCAGAGTATCATCAATTTTCACTTTTTCGAGAGTGTCCTTGGTTCCCAATAATGTTACATCTTCGCGTTCATTTCCAATTCCTACTGAAACTTTTCGTATATGAGCCCCGCCCTCTATCATAAACCCTTCGCTTTCTTCTATTCCAGTAGCGTAACCATGAACAGTTTCTATATTATATTTCATAGCCGTTATCTCGATACCACCATCATTGATGAAAATATTGCTATTTCTATGATTATGTTCTTCCTTATAATCAATTCTTACTCCTCCAGCCACGCTAGTAGAGCCATTTTCATTTATTTTTGGCATTCAACCATCCCCTGCACCATGTCAAGCTAAATGTTCTCCATGTCCATTTTCCACTGCTGCTTTTACGACACTACGTAATGCTTTTTGAAGTTCTTCTTGGGTATATTTATGACCTCACTCTTTATATTTCACTTCCGCTTTCTCACCATAAGGCAACAGTCCAAGTATGGAATAAATACCATCTACTGGAATTCCTCGTCCACGGTCTTTTATTTCCCGCAGTGCTTCGTGTAATCTTAAGGACACGGCGTCCTCTGGCTTATACCCTTCCTTATAATATGCTCAACCTAAAGGGGTAGCTATTTTCTTGGTTCCTT